GTTTTAGTAGTACCAAAAAAGTGGTGAATGATACCCTTGATGGTTCGATCCCCCGCGGCGACTAAATTTTGCAATCAAGGTTGGCGGCCACTTGTTGGCTTCAAAATGGTCCTGACGATGAATATGACATCTGATTTTGACATTTAGCGCGATTTGGCACCAACCCGTAGGCGCCAACCCAAATGCAAAATTTAGTCGCCACGGGGGATCGAACCATTAACAGTACCTTATGCTTCTTTTTTGGTACTGCTAAACCGTTCAGCGAAAATGAAACATGGTTTTGTGTTCCCTACATGCGTCCCTACAATATGCAAAAAACCGTTTTGAAAAAGCGTGGCTTGCCCTGAAAGACCCCCCTTGTTAGCCTTCCCCGCAGCGCTATTGGCGTGGTATCGACGCAGTATGCGCTGTCTGATTGTGAGATCCGTCTAGCCGTTTAGGAGAGAGAGAGAGAGAGGGGAGGGGGGGGGGAGAGCGTTAACGTTGAAGAGGACAACGTCGATGAGCGTCGCATGGATGCGGCCGTTCTCATGGCTTTTTCTGCATCTTTCCTCTCTGACCACATTTACCTCTACTTCTAATCGCATACTCCGTCTTCAAATGGGTTTGGGCTATGGCGTTCAAATGAATGTGTACGGAATAAGGTGGGTAGTAATGAAGGGGAGTAAACGAAGCCGTAGAGAACCCTCAAATCCGTGGCGTGGTCTGATCATTTGGGTCTTGTTTCGCCCACCTCTACCTCTTCAACGAGCAGCCTCACTTCCTTGCCGTACTTTATCGCATAAAAAACGATTCCTACTGGTGAACGGCCGCAATCTTCGCCCTAACAATCAGCGAGCAGGCTCTTCAAGGGTTTTTGGTAGTCCTGTTGACCCTTTTTCACTATTGGTCAACAATTTACTACATCGGCTTTCTTTTCGGGCACAGTAACCCACTTTTTCCTTTCTGATTCCTTTCCAAGTATCCACCAAGCCCTGTAACCCTGTCTTCTTCATCGCCTTCGAGAGTTTCTCGTTTCAGAACGCTGTCGGTCTGCTGTCACTACCACTGCCAAACGAACTGCCACTGGACTATGCGCCAACCTGTTCAAGTACAGATTGTACGTTTTTGTCGTATCTGTGCTTGTCTTTAAGAAAGCCGTTCTCCACGCACAGGAGCCGTATCTAATCTAAATCGCTCAAGCCGATGTTAGACTTCGCCAATCGAGCGATTTGCTGCGTCGCGCGGTCGCGCTTGCCGGCACGAGGCATTCGTTGGCCGCGACGCAACCGCGGACGCTAGCGGATCGCTCGATTCGCAAAGTCTGACATTGTCCTTAGTATTGACGATTGAGTGAATTTACCGTTTCTGCTCCACCTTGCTAAGTGTTCCGATTTGCAAACGCATGTGTCAGGGTTATTGGAGGAGAGGGACAATAGAGTACTTTTTTATATTCTTAACACACGTCTTTAATCCACAAGGACAAACCTTCAGTGCGGTTAATTTGCTTTACCGTAATCCACGTGGCACTGAGCGCGCAACTCAACCGGACTACGAGTACAAAAATCTTCAAACGTAGACTAAGCTTCGTATAGCATACATTATCTGTTTCTGTGAATACCGCAGACAGATCCCCCAAGGTCAACCATACGCATAGCGCTTTTGTCAAATTTTGCGATCCCCCTAAAAGGGGTCTTGGTGCCCCCCACCACCATGAGCCTTGAGGAGGCTTCCCCGATACAGCTCTCCTCCTCTCTACCCCCTCCGCCACACCGCATGATCATGGATGTTCATAATATTTGGTACTGATGACTTTGAGACCAGTCGATACACTCTGCTCCGCCCACTTCTTGCTTTTTCTTTTCACTCCATCAAAACAAAACACTCGAGCGGGGGGGATACTAGTATAACGAAATCGGCAGTCCTACAGTTTCATCTAATTCACGCTACTTTCATAGAACTTTTACCAAAATCGTCAAAAAACTCTAAATGGCAACCCCTTTTGATGACCTACGTTTGCACTCCTCCGTCTACGAAGATCGTCAACTTCACTGAATCCCAAAATGCTCAACCTCACTAAACCCCAAAATGCAACTCCCTTCTCGAAGGTACAAATGCCCCTCCCCCTCGTTATAGAATAGTGCGAACGGACGGTGGACCTGCCTCCCCCCACCCAGATTCTCTCAGCGTTGGTTGGAACCAATTCCTCGTACAAAAGAATCGCTTCATTTTTCAATTTCACTATAACTACATATAATCACAGGGAACTTTTACGGGTATGTAGAAGTTTTGGGTTTTCAAGTAGCAATATGATATTTTTCGAGCTCGTTCCTCCTTCCCTGTCCTCTCTCGTTTTTAGGGGGGGAAGGATAGTGTATTCAAAAAAGAACCTTCAGCACAGGGGCTCATAGCTCCCTTTCACTAGGGCCCACGAATTTCTAAAAGTTTTCGTTCCAGATCCGCCCACTCTATCGCTCCCAGCGGATACAACCAGTGTCATAGAGACGTCTCCTCATTCGCTCGAGGCCTCGCTTTGCTCTCTTAGCGACTACCAGAAATCAAGGGGATTGGACATTACGCTGTGAGTGCGGACGCGCAAATCATCAGAAAAAAAACAATAATAGGTTTTCTTTCAGAGAGACACTGGAAGAACTTCAAAAAGAGGTGCTTCGAGCTGAAACTGAATGCGCTCGAGCTCGAATACAAGCTGCTGTTGAAGAGAGACTGTACTGGGAAGAGAAGCGGGCTCGTCTGGCACTGCAGAGGCAAGCGCTACAGTCACAACATCCTCTGAAGCAGGACGACGATCTCGCTCTGGATCGCCTCTCAGCTGTCGCTGAAGAACGCCAGTTCTGGAAGGAAAAACGGCGAATTTTGGCACTGCGAAAGCAATGTGTTCTCGAACAGTTAGACTCGCTTTAGGAGATGACAATGTTTTATGCATATGTAACATTTATTGCTTATTTTTGATTATCATTTTTCACAGCAAAGAAGAAAATGTTTGAAATGAAGTCGAGTACGCGTGTAGTGATGAGCATTGTCAGAGGTTCATGCGTATGCTGGACACTCGTCGAATCGACGGCTTCCAAAGTCCGTCAGCCTTTCGAGTGTTCCGCCTGCATCGAGCCAAACGGGTTGGATAACTCCAGACGTGAGAATCGATGCGCCTGTAGATGATTTCCTCCTCGCAGATCTCTGAAATTAAAGAACTCTACCTTGCCTATGATATTCAAAAGCAGGGTCAACCGACCGTTCGCACTATTCTGACGAGGGGGTCGCATTTGGGGTTTTTGGGGGGGGGACGTTTCGGATTTGAGCGAGGTTAATGATACGAATTTGGCGAATTTGGTGAAAGGAAAGTAGTGGAAATTGGGCACCAAAGATGGTGGATTTCCCGTTTCATGATATGTATACCGTTTACCTCCTTTACCCACTCCCCCCCTTTCCTCCCCCAACC